TGACTGCTAACCAGAAGGCTGGCTGTTCAAACCTACCAGCCACTCCTCGGAGGGAAGAATGGGCAATCTACTTCCGTAGAGATCCTGCCTCAGAAACTCAAGGAGGGGTATCTATGAGTCAGAATTGACTTGATGGCAGTGAGTTTTGGTTATGATGTCCTTGCATTCCACAATGTTTTCCTTCTTCAATTTTCCTTCCACTGGGAGATACCTGTTTTCCTTCTCCAAAGTGTCTGGCCCACTTCTTATTTTATCATTTCTTTTCCATTTATTCACCACTAGCTGTAGACCTTCACTCTTTGTGTACTAAGCAGCACCTCCTCTGTTCTTACAGCATCCATATCATCCCCTTCACACCATCCACCCAGAAAGGGCTAAACCCTACCTTCTTTATGGGTCAACAGATCTTCTAAAGTCCTTGACCCACAATCACTTGAGACTTTGCATTTCTCTTGTCACTGTTGCCTACAAGAAGGTGTTCTTATTTTTCATTGTTTTTGGTCACTAGGTAAGATACTCCCAACGCCACTACTCACTCTGCATTCTTAGCATTGTTTATGATGAATGCTGAAGCCTGGCATTACGTGTTGCCCTCTCCCGGGCAAAACTGACTTTAAGAGAAAAAGAAACAAATGCAGTTATAGCCAGAGCTACTGATAAATTTTGATTCTGCGTATAACTTCTCCAGGAAACAGACCCAAAATTTGTGTTTCCAGGAAACCACCTCAATATTTTTTAAAAGCACAGAGATCAAGCGGGCAAAAAGAAAGCTAATAAATTATATATCACCAGAAGTCATTCTGTCATGAATAAATGGAAGAAAAGGAAATCTCAGGATGATGACATGTCCCAAGGTAAGGCTTCTCAGGAAAGCGACCAAATCCAAGGAAACCCATTGCTGTCCGGTCGATTGCAACTCAAAGTGACAGCTCTACTAAATGTAAAACCAGATTAAGTGAGCCAAAAGGCGTCTTAGATCTGTGAAAGGTAGTGGAGGAATATCCATCCATGTCTACCGAGGCATGGGCATAATCCCATTTCTAAGTATGTGTGAGAAGTGAAAATAGCCTTCTGCTCTGAGAGTTCAACTATAAAAATCAAACCATAATAGATGAGATAAGACATATTCAAAAGGCATCTTAGAGACAAAACGTTTCCCACACCAGAAGCAGAGAGTACAAGAACTCCTCAGTAACCTTATCGATTGCATTAGCATATGTAAAGAAAGAATGTGTCAATCAGACGGGGGATTTGGTGTGGACTGGCAGAGAAGAAATGAGAACTGAGAGGAGCACTTTAGCAGAGTGATTCCCTAAGGTCTCAAGGGGGAAGGGCCCTGGGCCACCTGACAGATGTACCTCTAATGGGAAGATCGACCATCTGGTTATCAGAGTAGATGGCAGCACACACTGAAGCCCCCAGACCCATTCTCTCCACTGAGTCCAAATCACCAAGCAATCCCCTGACCATAAATAGACTTCCTATTTTGTTTTCCTATAACGATAAAGTATACTGATATACTCATGATCTACTTGGGATACTTGCTCCACTTACAGTTGTCTTTTTCAAAATAACTTAATGCATTGGCATTCTGGTTTATATCTTTCAATTTCTAGTATGGTTGGATAATGTGAATTAACATTCCTGAAATCCATGAGCTCAGGGGCACTGGCATTACCAGTTTCTGGATCTGTAAGACTGAGGAACAGACCCTAAATGATGGTAAATTCAACCCAAGGGAATGAAAGAGAGGGTTCAAGATGAGGCAGCTAGCATATTTGATAATAGGGTAATACTCTTCCATATTCCCAAATGCCTCAAATTTTACATCAACTATGCCTAAGGCATTTGACTGCTAACCAGAAGCTGGTGGTTCAAACCCACCAGCCACTCCTCGGAAGGAAGACTAAGCAATCTACTTCCATAGAGATACTGCCTCGGAAACCCAAGGAGGGGTCGCTATGAGTTGGAATTGACTTGACAGTAGTGAGTTTGGTTTGGTATGTACTTATACTTTATTCATTAACTCTTCGTAACACCCTTTTGAGGCAGGAATTATTTCCATTTCACAGATGAGGACACTGAAGCTTAAGAGACCTAAGGTCACACAATTTGCAAATTACAAAGCCAGATTTCAACCTCAGGACTGGCTGGCTGTCTTTAAAGGTTCTGCTAGAAGTAATAATTCAAATCTCATGTCACTATAAACTAGAAGGCTTAACCTTAAGCCAACATGACTGCTCTTTACAGCAGGAAATAGGGTATCCCTGTCTGGAGGTTATTCTATTACAAAACATCCATCACAACACATCAGGAGTCTGGATTCTGCTGACAGTATTAAACAGATACTAATTCCAGTGTCCCAAAGTTGGACTTTTGAGTTCCAGTGCCAAGGTGAGTTCAAAACCTTTAGCATTCTTCTGGGCACACAGAATAAGTTATCTAATGGTTCTAAGCCTTTCTTATCATCTGAGTATTGGGCCACCATGCTTGGGATGACTGCTTTCTTTACTCAAATCTAGATCCACAAAAAATGGACCTATGCCCACAGGTGGCCAATAATAATAAAAATAACAGCAGCAGCGACTGTTGTTACAAGTCATCATGTAAAATATTATACTTAATCTTTCCAATCACCTTATAAAGCAGTTATCCTAATCCCCATTTAAATGAGCTAAAGTAAGTAAAACACTGCAAGCATGAGGAAACTGAATCTTCAGTGAGGTTAAGTAATTTGCCCAAGGTCATACTGCTAGGTGATAGGCCTGGAATTTTACCCAGGTGTGATTCTAAAGACTATGCTTCAAGCCACTCTGTATCACTGGCTTCCAGAAAAGCAACCTTCTGATTAGCTCTGAAGATACCTGATACAACGCTGCACAATGAAGAGAGAATCTCTATAGCATGAAAACCTGTTGGGCCACATCCAACCACATAAACCAAACACGTTGCCATGGAGTTAACGCTGACTCATGGCAACCCCATGTGTTGCAGGGTAGAACTGCTACATAGGGTTTTCTTGGCTGTAATCTTTATGCAAGCAGATTGCCATGACTTTCTTCCACTGTGCAGCTAGGTGGGTTTGAATCACCAACCTTTAGATTAGCAGGCAAGTGCAAACCATTTGACCCATGGCTATAGTTTTATGGTTGGGAGGAGGTGCTGTCCAAGGGAACAAGGAGAGTGCCAAGGTACAAAGGTACACATTTGAGAAATGAGGAATGAATGAAAGCAGGAGTGAACGTTCCTAGAGGAGACCGTATCTAGCATGACAGGAAGAACAGCTTACTTTCTACATCTTGAATATGGTGTGGCTCGATTGACTCCTAAAATCCCAGTCAATTTGAACCTTCTCAAATACTGAAACATTTAGTTGCCATGTGAGGCACCTAAATCGGATTAAGAAATATCCAAATAAACAAAGTGTCAAGGCCTACAGCTTAATAAGGTAACGGTAACAATGCATAAGCAGCATGATGAAATGGAACCATGTAGATTATTCTGTCTCTTCTATTTATCAGCTCTGCTCCCTTCAGTAACTTACTTAACCTCTTGTCTATTAAATAGGGAGACTTGTATCTATCTCATAGGGTTTTTGTACAGATCAAATGAGGTAAAACATGTTGAGAAGTACATGCTTGGTCCTGTGTACAGGAGAGATGACAAGGGGCAAGGTTGTGGTGGGTTCTTGGCCACAGCCAGCTACCCAGAGGGAGCAAGTAGTTGGATATGTAGGCTTGGGAACATGATCGCAGGGAACAATCAAGCTCAACTGGCATAACATACTACACAAAACATTGTTCTACAGCCTACTTTGGTGAGTAGCAAGTGGGGTCTTAAAAGCTTGCAAGCAGCCATCTAGATGCAAAGATGGGTCTCTCCTCATCCAGAGCAAGGAAGATAAATGAATAAATAATAGAAGTGCATGCTTGGTTTGTAATAAATGAACCAAACCAAGCTCACTGCCATTGAGTGGATTCCAACTCATAGTGACCCCCTTTGGGTTTCTGAAGCAGTAAATCTTTATGGAAGTAAGTTGTCCAGTTTTCCTTCCTTCCTCAGAGTGGCTGGTGGGTTTGTACCACCAACCTTCTGGTTAGCAGTCAAATGCCTTAGGCACTACGCCACCAGAACTCCTTAGGTTTGTAATAATAAATAAATAAATACCTCACTGTCGTTGAGTCGGATCCGACTCCTAGCGACCCCTCCTTCGGTATCTCTACGGAAGTAGATTGCCCAACCTTCCTTCCGAGGAATGGCTGGTGGGTTTGAATGGCCAGGCTTCTGGTTAGCAGTCAAATGCCTTACCCACTACGCAACAAGAGCTACCCTAGGTTAGTAATACGGACCCCAAACTAATAATAATATGAATAATAACTCCCTTTCCCTTTCTATAAGTAATTTCCTCCACCAAGAGTTTGATACTGGGAGTAAGCAGCTTCTTATATTAAGACATTAAAACCAATCACAACTCAAATCTTGACAACAGAGGAACCATTACTATTGCTACCAGAACAGTAAAATAAACAAAAGAAGGATCCTCTTGTTGAAAGCTGTGGTATGGGTGAGGCTAGTGGAATGCCACCCAGTTGCTAATACCTAAAGTTCCAAATGAACTGCTTTCTCTAGTCTCACAATGAGACAACGCTTTGTAGCGTTCTGACCATATTTGGGATCAATGTCACTTTTCATCAAGCCCAGAAATTTAGGAAGTACAGCGAGGCATAACTCTGTGACACAAATAGCTACTGGGAAAGTCAGGGTTTCAAAAGACAAGCAAGAGTGTCTGAAATGGAATGTTCCTATCTTCATCCCACTTCCTCTTCACATCCCACAAGGTAGGAAAGAAAAAGGAGGAGAGGCAAGGGTGTAACCATCCATGCACTGAGGTTTTAAAAGCAAGCTGCCACCAATGCTTTTTTTTCCCAGAAGGGGGTAGGGCAAAGAGGAAGTGGAGGTGAAGTGGTAGGAGGGACAGTGTAGGTGCCGGCCCATCCTACCTTCGCACCACCAGCCTGAGGGTCTTGTAGGATCCTTTCACCAGAGAAACGGCCTCCCTTCTGGAGCTGGTCAACGCGACCTCGTTGATGTGCACGACCTCATCTCCGGCCCGCAGTTTGGAGCTCACAGAGTCCGCTTTGCCCCCTTCTTCAATCTGCTCGGAGACAAGAGAGCCATGAATGACCTTCCACAGTTCCTGGGCTGCTTGGAGCGCTGCCTGGAGTCCAGCAAAGCCAAAGAGACTGGCTAAGACCACGCCCCACTCACACCCAACCTGACGGGAAGCTGCAGGAAGGCAGGATCTGGGTTTTCCTCACCCACTAGAAACCCAGAGTCCTACCTGCCAGAAAGGGCGGTCATAACAATTAGCTGAATGAAGGAAGGAAGTCAGTTTCCATCGAAAGGCGCCAGCTACCCTTGTTGTTGACTCTTCAACTGCACAAGTCCATTCAAAGCAACTGTTTTCATTCTTTTAGAAGTTGAGTTCTTCTTACCTCAGTTTTTGGACTATATTTGTAATTCATTCAACAACGTTATTTGACAACTGCTTTGTGCCAGAAATTGTTCCTGGTATTTGGGCTACATCAGTGGAGAAAAAAGACAAAAGCCTTCCTCTATGGCTCTCACATTGCAGGGTGGAGAAGGGAAAGCAGGGAATAAGCTTAATAAGTGAGTAAATGATGTAGTATATTAGGAGGTGATTATGTGTTGTGGAAATAAGAAAGCAGAATAATTCTCAACCCAGTGCTATATGCCAGTGGATACTTACGGAACATCAACGATAATGAAAGAGAAGGAAAGGAAAAACAAAAAAATAAGTAAACAAAACCTGATCCATATTTTCTCTTTTTCAACAACCAAGAAATTGCCCACATGCTCAAAAACCTTTAGACCAAATTCTTAGAATGAATTTGTAAATTTGGCTCTTGAATACCTTCTATTTTTATTAAAATAATTTGGGTAAAAATTAACATATACTTAAGGATAGACACAGAGAACAACAGAATAGAATTGAGAATCCAGAAATAAACCCACACATCTATGGTTAGATGATTTCAGTCAGCAACATGAGCAACAAAATAAAACGATAAATTGGACATCATCAAAATGAAAAACTTACATGCATCAAAGGGCATTAGGAAAGTGAAAAGACAACCCACAGAATGAGGGAAAGTATTTCTAAATCATATATCCAATAAGGGTCTAGTACCCAGAACATATTTAAAAACTCTTAGAAATTAACAACAAAAAGAGCAACAACCCAATTAAAATTGGGCAAAAGACTTGAGTAGACATTTCCCCAAAGAAGATAGTCATACAGCCAACCCAAAATACCCGCTACGATTGAGTTGATTCTGACTCATAGCAACCCCCACCAGGTTTCCAAGATTGTAAATCTTCACGGAAGTAGATTGCCTCATCTTCCTCCCACAGAACAGCTGGTGGATTTGAACTGCTGATCTTCTAGTTAGCAGCCAAATGTCTTACCCACTATGACACCAGAGTTCCTTCACATGGCCAACAAGCCCATGGAAAGATCTTCAAAATCATTAGACAGTAAGGAAATACAGATCAAAAGCACAGTGAGACACCACTTCACACCCACAAAGGATAGCCATAACCAAATGAATAGAAAAAAACAAATCTTGGCAAGGATGTGGAGAAATTGGAACCCTTATTGCTGGTGGGAATATAAAATGGTTCAGTTACTGTGGAAAGAGTTTGGCAAGCTCTCAAAATGTTAGACATAGAATTACCATATGACCTAGAAATTCCACTATAGTATATATACTCAAAAGAATTAAAAACAAGTACTCAAACAAATTCTCTTACTCAAATGTTCTTAGCAGCATTATTCACAATAGTCAAAGGGTGGAAACAACCCAAATGTCCATCAACAGATGAATAGATAAACAAATTGTGGTTTAGACATACAGTGAAATATTATTCAGCCACAAAAATGGATGAAATATTTAGTTTTGTGTATTTTACTGCACATAAATTATATTTAAATAAAATGTATTTTAAAAAAAAGGATGAAATACTGATTCGTGCTACAATGTGGACAAATCCCCAAAACGTTGTATTAAGTGACAGATGCTGGACACAAAAGATCACATAGTGTATGATTTCATATATATGAAATATCCAGAATAGGTAGATCCAGAAATAGAAAGCAGGTTGTATTTTCCAGAAGCTGAGAAATTGGGGAGAGAGAGGGGAGTAATGGCTTAATGGGTATGGGGCTTTATTTTGGAATAATGGAAATGTTTTGGAACTAGATAGAGGTTTGTTGTTGTTGTTGTTATGTGCCGTCGAGTCGGACCCGACTCATAGCGACACCTCCTTGGGTTTCCAAGGCAGTATCACTACAGAAGTAGATTGCCTCAATTTTCTTCCAAGGAGTGGCTGGTGGGTTTGAACCTCCAGCCTTCTGGTTAGCAGTCAAGTGCCTTAGGCACTATGCTACCAGAGCTTT